AACACAATCTATTGAAGAATCTTTTAAAATTGATTATTTTACATACATAATTGATCAAGCTATTTTTTCACTAAAAAATAGATTTGAACAATTACAAAAATATGAAAATATTTTTAATTTTTTATTTAACTTAGAAAAATTAAAATCATTGATCAATGATAGTTTAAAACAATATTGTTTGGATCTCGAATGTTTCTTAAAACACGAAAAATTTTGATATTGATGGCTTAGATTTATTTTAGAACTAAATGTTTTAAAAGAAATTTTACAAACGAAAAAAAATACTCTAATTGAGATACTAAATTATATAAAAGAGTTAAATTCTTTTCTAAATGCATGCGCATTGCTTATAGGATATTATTAATAATTCCTGTAACAGTTGTTTATATAGAAAGAAGTTTTTCAAAATTAAAATTGATAAAATCTTACTTAAGATCGATTATGTCACAAGAAAGATTAATTGGATTAGAGATATTATCAATTGAAAAAGATATAGTAGCAAAATTTGAATATTAAACATTAATTAATACTTTTACAACTCAAAAAGCAAGAAAAATTAATTTTAAATAAAAAATATTAACACTAAACATAGAAGACATCATTTAAAAATATTGCTTTAGACCCCAAATTGTCTCGAGCCACCCTGCGAACGAAGGTTCCGTTCGTCCGTCCGTCACCACCAAGAAGCTACGAAATTCAACAGCCATCGTCACCTTTCATAGATCATGCTCACTGGTCATGCATCACTGTTTCTCACTAATCAGCCTCTTTTACCTCAACATTGTTTACCTCTCTCCATCTCTTTTTCATAGATTTTGTTGGAATTCGAAGGTGGGTTTGATTGGTTTCAGAAGAAATTTTTGTGGGTTTTTGTTTGATTTCGTGGGTATTTGCTGGAATTCTGACAGAATTTGCTGGAATTCAAATTTTTTGTCCGTCACCACCACGCTGCCACTGTTTTATGCTCGGTCTCATAGGATGAAAAAATATAAATACGGAAAAAAAAGAAATATAGAAAATTAGAAAGATATATAAAATATCATGTTTAGTAAAGAAGGAAAATAGGAAAGTTAGAAAAGTTTATGAATGAGTTTTCCTTCTAACCCACTAAAATTAATCTTTCAAAATTTGAAGGAACTTATGAAAAGTTAATTATTTATATTGAAATGTATCTTATTTGTTTATATATATCATTTGATATTTATAATATAAAATAGGGTAGATTCTAATAAATTCATCCGATGATCTCAAATAGACTTATCAAATGTCCACAAACATTAATCTTAAAATCATTCATATTGCACCGTACCTTCGAGTACGGATAATCACTAGTGTGTGTGTGTGTATATATATATATATACATTAATTTCATATATAAATATAAAGATGAAATATATACTTATACCTTTTTTAAAAAAATTAAAAATAAAAACTATATATTTTTTCCATATTATCAAGCGCAAAAAAAATTTATTTTATTTTTCATCTATCCTACCAAACATAAAAGAAGTAAAGTATATTATTCATACTTTCCTTTCTTGAAGGATAGAAAGTGTATTATATTACTTTCCATCTTTTCTATACCAAACAGAACATTAGAGTAGATATTCAAATGTTTTATTGGAAAAAATTTTAAGAAATGAGCTATTGGGACTATATGGAAATTTTTGTAAAACAATTTGAGTATAAATTTGGTTTTATCAATTGGAAAATTTTATAACAAATTAAACTTTTTACTCAAATTTGAGTTTGAGTTTGGGTCAACATTGGAGATAATTTTTGTGTCATTTTTACTCAAATCTAAATTTGACTCTAAATTTGAGTAAAGATTAGAGACGGCCTAAAAATTCTGTATTTAGTGAGTAAATATTGGGTCACTTGGTATAACCGCCTAATCTATATTACTAATTACTAATAAAAGTCTCTTAACATGAAAAATTTTTGATTCACTATTTATCCTCATAAAAAATTAAAAAGGTCACTTTATCCTTCCACCCTTAATATTTTTTAAGAGTAATATAATCAATCAAAAAATTTTATAAAAATTAACATTTATACATAAAGAATATATATTTAAAAGTAATTTTAGATGTAATTTACAAATTTAAATGTATATGATTGTGTGAGTTCGCAATACTTTATTGACCTAAAAGAATCTCCAATAGACTATTTAGAGTATTTCCAACAGAACCTTTATTGCTACTCAACTCTCTATTATAAGGAGTGTGAGACAAAAAATCAAGCTTTATGCTCTTTATTTAGACTAACAAAAATAGAGCGCCTAATTACACTATTTTTATATGGACAGCTCAACTAACTCCCTATTCTATTTTTAATAAACGAAAAGATGACATATATACATTTCTTCATTTTTTAAATAAAAAAAAATTGGGGGGGAAAGAAAGGAGAGAGGAGGGATAACTTGAACCCTTAACNTTATAAAGGAAAGGAAGGAGAGAGAAGGGGTAACTTGAACCCTTAACCTTAAAAAAATAGAACATTCACAAGATAAGGAATACTATTGGATCAAATGTCCGTTGGTAAATATATACATGCTTCATTAATTGTTATTTATTATTCCCTCTGTTCTTAAATATCTGTCGTTTAAGGTTTTTGCACAAGAATTAAAGAAGTTATTAAATAACTCTAATATGAGTAAAAAATAATTACCCAAAACTAAAATACGCATATTCAATACATATTGGGAATGAAAAGAATATGAAAGACATTTAACCTCCACCTAATCTAATGCATTGAAAAGTTAAGGGTAAATTTAGAAGAAAAATATTAATTATATTTTGATTTTATTAAACGACAGATATTATGGAACAAAAAAAATTGTATAAAATAACAAATATTTAGGAACGGATGGAATATAAACTAGTTTGCTATTAGAATAGGAAGTCAATTGGAGTTATCTAAAAATTTTCATTGTTTATTTCAAATTTTTATCAAACATGCACTCTATTTTCAAAAAATATTCTTTCTAAACTAGAGATTATTATTGAAGATATTCTTATTCTCACTCGACGCTCTATTTTAGAGAATCAACTATTAAAAATCAAGTTCCAATAAACTCTTTATATTTGAAGAATTAAACTCACTCTTTATTGTATTTTTAATGAATAAAAAGATGACACACGTACATAGAGGTGTCCATGGGCAAGGCAGGGCCAGGCCAGGTTATGCCTATGAATTTTTTTTTGGAACATGTGTGGATAGAATAAACCTAAGTTCTTACTCGAGTGAGTTATCGGACGGGACGAGACAGGACCAGATGAGCAGGGCTTCGGGTAAGAGCAAGATACCCGTAACCCAACTCACCATTCACTGGACGGGCCTATTGAATGGGCCTTGCAGGCAAGCTTATGGAAAGGCCTGCCAAGCGGGCTTTTTTTATATATATACATCTTCATTTAAAAAGTTTTCAACTTATTATTTTTGTAAATTGCATTTTTGAATTAAAAGTAGAGTGAAAATAAACAAAAAGTAAATAATGAATAATTTTATTTGAGATGAATTATTTAGTATTTAAGTAACTAGTGAATAATGAATAATTTCCTAGATTACTCAAATTAGTATTTAAGTAAATAACTTTTATTTTTTATTTTTTTGAGATTAATACGCTACCTAACTTTTAGTGATCAATTTTTTTTTTCAGACAAAGTGGGTGGACGGGCGGACTGGACTGGGCTAGTGGGTTCTTGGCCAAGTTTTTGCTAGTGGGCTAATAGGCCCAATTTGGACTGGATAATGAGCTTAAGGGCAAGCCTAAGAACTCTTTTGAAGAATATTCGGGTTTGGACAGACCAATTATCGAGTCAAGTTTCGTACCTATTTTTTCGGACCAGGTAACGGGTTCCATGAGCCCAACCCCACCCATGAACATCCCGACGCATACAATATAACACTATTTTTCTATTAGGATAAAAAGTCCATTGGAGTTGTTTAAAATATTTAACTATCTATTTTAAAATTTTATAGATGTTATTTATTTTAAAAAGTGTGTTCTCTAGAATAGAGAATATTATTGGAGATGCTTTAATACAACATAGAAAGGAGGGTGCTCGGGTTTGAAGACTGATTAGGACACGAATGAAATCGTTAAACATAACAAGCACAAGTTCAAAAAAATTGTATTATGATGAACCACAATGAAGTCCCTGGCAAAGCCCAAAATATGCGATCTCAAACAGAAAAAAGTGCGTCAGCCTTGTCACCTGCAGCACTTCACCCCCCCGAGAGCATCTTCAATTGGTTATGTCACGCCAAAGGTTACGGTTCAATGGGAGCAAGAATTTCCACCACATTTGGAACATTTCGTTTCTGGGCAGAATAATCGTTTTCAAGTAGTGTTTGATCGAGTACATTAATAACTAAGGGTTATATATCGCATTCTGAACTCCCCTCCACATAATATCCATCCTTTTACTTGTTGCAGGTTGAACTAAAACTCTGCAGAAAAATATTACAACCACCACTGATACTAGAAAAGTAATTAGACTCATTCTGGAATAGCCCATTGATCTCAGTACTGCTCTGAGAATATAAATATTAGTCTCTTCTTGGATACCCTCAATGTGGCCACTGGCAGAATTGGGAGTGCACCTTAGGAACTTCAACATTGGAACCTGCTTATTTGGTTAGTAATTAGACTCATTCTGGAATGCAGTGAGCTTCTTTGGTTAGGAACACTCTTTCTAATCGTGTTAAATCAACTGATCGTGAACACAGTCCTTTTATTCCCAAGTAGTCCAAATATAAAACCCATTACATATTCAATATATCGATAGTGTTGTCAACCGTGTAAGCTTGTTATGCAGGTTCAGGTTTACATGTCAAATTACCTAGGTTCGTGAGCTAAAATCGGGTCAAATCTCCAACCCAAGTTTGATGAGCTCGTGTTACTTGTACAGACCCTTTTGTACCATCGCTCGACATTGTAGTGACAGACCTTTTGCACAGCAGAACACCGCAAAGCTTGAAACATTAACATGTATAATAATTTTTGCTCTACATAAAAGATTAAGATCACTCACCATCCAATTACATTATATAATGTCACATTCTCACAGAATATTAATTGAAAAAATAAACAAATAAAACTAAAATCCAGACTCAGCATATAACAACACTGAAACTCACAAAACTTAAGAAGACATCCCTCTGCTTTATATCCTTGTTACCGTCCCAGTCCTCGCCTGGTTCTAACAGAGATTGGTATGTTCTCTGCATTCAAACGCTGTGCACTGTGTGCCCTGGTCCTGGACCCTTCAGCAAAATGTGGTTTGGGGTTCCCAGGCCCTGATTTTTCCTCCAGGCCAGCTTGAGAACTTAGAGGGAAGTGGTTGTGAGAAGTGTAGTAGTCCTTTGCACCACTCCTTTCTGAGAGTTCTTCATGCTCAACTGTATTGATCTCATCATCACTTCCATCAAAATCTATTCCAGTCCCAAAGGGCTTGCTCTGATCCTCAAAGTATGAAGGAAATTTAGTCCCCTTAAACGCGTTATCAGCTGAATCTGAACTTGAAGAAGACACTGATCTGTTGAGCTCTGCTTCATTTTTAGCCTGTATGGATTTTCCTGACTTAGTTCCAATCCACGTTTCAGCATCTTCAGATTCAGAAAGATAGTTATGAATTGGGTGGACTTTTTCAGATGGTAATCCAATATTCAAGTTCTCAATTCTCGACTCATCTTCCTCACCAGTTTGAAGTTTAGGTTTCATAGCAATGCCAGCTACTTTTCTTTGTTGCATATTGGGGCTATTGGGATCATCGGGATCATGTGACTCAGACCGAGAGAGTTCCACAGCTGCTCTAGCGGCTGCGGCTGCATAAGCTGCAGATTCAAATGCTGCTTGAGCTGCATCAGCTACATCCCTGTACTTTCTCCTTGTGTCCATTGAATTAGAGAAACCATCCACACTCACACTCTCCTCAGGCCATATTGGCATATTATCTTCAAGCTTAGGACTGCTAGAATGAGCTGGTGGATCTGGTTTGGGCTGATCCTGCTTCTGTTCCGCGTCTGATTTCTCCAGCACCTGTCACACAATGAGAAACTTTCCATTAGTTGATTTTCATATTTACAAACACATCAATGGTATTAATAATGTTGCAATATATGATGTCAGGATTACATACCTCTGTTGTTTCTGAAGAAAATTCCTCAATTTGAAGAACAATGTTGTTCTCAGAAGCAATTTCCTTAAGCACCTTCAATCTGTTCTCCAAGCTTGGTGTTCTTGTTGACAGCTTTTGTATCATCTATACGCAAAGGTACATATGCAACAATTAAAATCATATTCTGTTGATCAGTTGATATATATATATACACATAAACATATGATAATATTGCATTCACCTTATGACTCACTCCACAATTGTTGCGTAATTCAACAGCACGGGTCACGAATTCCTTCCCAAATCGAGAAGTGAAAACAGTGCGAATCTCTTGAAGCTCTGGGAGATCCCCACATCTAGTGGCTGCATAAATCAAGCTTGATACTGCCTCCTTCAATTCATCAGGACAAACCCTATAGAAAGAACACAAGCCCATCAACAAACACAAAAACCAATGGAAACCCAAAAATCAAATAAACTTTTTTATCACATCAAACATGGAAAAAAAGGACTAACTTTTCGTGCTCTACAAGATTCACCCTATCTACCACCAGAACACAATAGCCTTCTATCAATTCAAATACAGCTAACATGTTCTGCTCCTTGATCACTTGTTCAACCTGTCAAAAACGATCATTTCAAACACAACAATGAATAAAAACCACTGAAAAGTCTTTGTATATATATCTGTATTAAAAATAGAAACATTATTGTTACGTGTTCTCTTATTGCATTTGAATCATGCCACCACCTTGATAATTAAAAAAATTGCACGGTTTGACTGTGGACGTATTGAAGTATAAATATTTGATACATACATCTTCTCTAACAATTCAAGGGCGTAAATGAGGTAATGGTTGTTTAACAATATAACTGGTTAAGGGTTAAGAAAACTACCCGTAGAAGAGCTCTTTCATGGTGGCCGAGGTTGAGGATTTGAACAACATCAGACCGGGCAAGGGAGAACCGTGCTTGGCGCTGGTGTTTTAGGACGGCGAGCCGAGAAATGGCGAGATTGACAGTGGCTCTAAATTTGGAGGTCTTGAAGGTTCTTCCCAGCAGGGCATCAAGCTTCTTCCCCATTCCAAGTCCTACCTGTTTGATGGGTGTCTGAGTGAGAAAGTTCTTGTGAAAGCTTCAAAGAGAGCACACACCAGAGAACAAACAAGCCTTGGCTCGTTTGTACCTTTATGTTATGACGATGGGAGAGAGAGAGAGAGAGGGAAGCTAAGCGTGTGAGACTGTAAGAGGCTTTTTCTTATGAACCAAGTCTATGAAGAAAAGGCCAACTAGGAAAGAGGTTTTAAACGCGGTTGGGCAGTCAATATCTAGGCAGCCCCACAAAGAGGGGCCCAATTGTCAGATGTGAAACCGTAACCCCCACTCGCTTTGAGGAGAAATGTGCCAATTATGGTGAATGGTTAGAGAAAAAGTCGTGAGAGGCCTTGTTCAAGTGAAGATGCAATCCCACACCCACGTCAACAACAGAAGGAAAAGTGTGTTCATACTACTAGGTTTAGTGCTCTAGCTGGAAAAACCCAAGTACAGCTGGAGCTATGAGGCATTTTAGCTAAAATTGTTTTGAGACCTGTAAGTTGAAATGTTGTTTAAATAGGTTTATGTTGTAATTAATTGGGATAGATGAATTTATTTTTGTGAATTTATTTGACTGAGAGCGTAAATTTTGGACAAATTCGCTCTCGATTTGTGAGAATTCACACGTGAAGCTTAAGAGTGTTGATAGTAATAGCTGAATTGTGTGACTTCCTGAAATTAACTCTAACCCCAATTTTACTTCAATATGAACTTTTCAATCTAAGTATGTTCATAACACAACTCGTACTTTAATTCAAGTTTTACTTTTGGGAAAGGTCTATATATTTAAAAAAAAAAAAGTATTATGACCCAAAATATTGTAAAAAAAAATGTGTAAATAACCCAAAAAACTTGCATTATAAAATTTAGAGATGCGGCATTGAATTTTTTTTCAATATCATAGTTTTTGCCCTACTTGTGAGTTAAAGTTCGAGTTTAAATCGAATTGATATTGGATTGAATTCAAGTTTGATTATAGGGAAGCACAATTCGAATTGGAATTCAAATTCAATTTAGGTTGATTTTGAGTTGGATACCAAAATGCGAGACCCAATCCCAAATATTGCTCAAATTTAACCTAGTTATGTGTTTATTTGTTTCCTGTCTTCAGTCATAATCAAGAACTAAAAATCTCAAAAAAAATCTAGTTGTATTTTGATTGATCCACCCAAGTTACACCCCTACTATGAGAAGGTCCCCAACACTCTTTTTTTACTCAAATCCAACCAATATTATTCCAACAAAAATTTACTATAGTCAATTAGACTTACATATGTAGTGTGTGATCTATCTATCTATACTATTATAGCAATCAAATTTGAGGGTGAAGATTTGATAAGCCTTCACTACCTTCTTCTTTAATTTATGAATTTTTGATTTAATAAAATAAAAATAAAATATTATTCAATTCCATTCCATTCCATTCTTCAATGTGTCCCAAATAATCACCTACAAAGCAACTCATATCACCACTCACAGAACAACCTCATTATACCACCCACTACTAAAGAAAATACTATTTGAACTTCAAATATTGACTTAATTAGTTGTCTTAATCAATCACAACGATTGAATAAATAGTGGGTCACACAGTTAAATCAATGACAATGATTAATCAAGTCAACAAATTAAGTCAGTATTTAAAATCAACGTAACATTGCTCTACTTATAAAAGTTAATATTTATTTTTTAATTTTTGATACTTATAATATTTTTCTTGATTTTTAAAAAAACGGACGATAGAGAAAAGGGTGAAGAAGAGAATTGGTTATAGAATTCGTTCGTGTTTGATTACGCACACAAATGGAGAAAAAGGGGGAGGGGGGTGCGGGGGTGTTTGTATCCAAATTTCATTAGCACATAAATTCTGTCAACCTCGGAGAATTCAAAGTTCATAAAATAATAGTGGGCTTCGATGTCAAGAAGCCAGAAAAATATATATATATTTTTTTTTGGTTCAATGTATATCAGTATATTATAATAAATAACCGACTAATACGACGAAGCACAGCGCATCTGAGGGGGAAAGCATCCGAAGAAAAGTATAGAGAAGACCGAAGGAGTATTATAATATGAAAGCAATCATATAATAAACGTAGTGAAATTTAAAAAATAATGTGATTCCAATATATTCATGTTTAATACAANGTCCGAAGGAGTAGTATAATATGAAAGAAATCACATAATAAATGTAGTGATATTTAAAAAATAATGTGATTCCGATATATTCACGTTTAATACAAATTAAAAATATTATATTTATAGAGAAAACTAAGAGTTGCATATTAAAATGTCTATTTAACCATTTTTAAACTTTCTTTAAACTATGTAATCATTTGACCTCTATCGATATCCACATAAATTTGAAGGATCTATTTCAACCTTTAATAAACTTGAAGGATCGATTGACATCTAGTAGAGAGAGAGTGATGGGCGAATTTTTTTGTGCCTAGAAAAAGGGTTGTTATCTCGTTTATCCACCTTCTATATAAAGGTGTTTATAGAGCTTTCGAACTCACTTATCCTAGTTCGAGTCTAGATACAATTATGTCATAATTATATATAATCATTTATTAACCATTAATTATAATAAAATCTCTAATTAACTCTTAATTGGTATTCTCTCATTTATTCTGTAGTTTCCAAACAATTTTATTGTGTGTGATCCTATGGATTCAAATATACCTGGTTGTAAGACTTTGATATTAACTACAAGTAGTATCTCAAATTAAAACTCTTTTTAATTTAGATTGAATTAGAACGTTTCTAATTCTCCCATTATGAATAACAATTTGTATATTTATATTAATTTTATTTTTCGGGCTTCTACTAATCATGAATGACACTTAACAACATATTATGATCAACTTACAGATAGCATGAAGTAGGTGAAGAACTCGTTCAATCTACAATTACGTTGTAATACAATCCTTCTATCACACAATAGCCCAATTGAAGATATGAAATTACTGGCAAACCCCTAACTCAATCTTATGTTTTCAATCTTTGGATTATGATTCCTAATAATCAATTATAAATTATTTTCTAATTGTCATTCTACCTTACTCAAGGACACTTTGAGTCATAATCTATAAGATTACATATAACATTCTTTTTTTATTTACTAAGGATAATAGATTACATGTTGTACACTCATAAGTTTTCATGCATGTCTAAAAATATATATCCAAGTTACATGGTTAGTATATAAATATGATGCATAGTAAAGTATAGAAGTTCATATACAAGACAACTATGGTGTCTTAAGTCTAAAGATCAGTTACTAACTGTAACTTTAGTATTTAATATTGACAAATCTATAAAACTCCATATGAAAAATCTTACATTAGTTAATTGTTATGTTCAGTGTAGTTAGTTCTCTGATAAGCACCCACACACTTACTTCAATGTCCCTACACTATGAGTTGAACGAGTTACCTCATATTAAATATAAGTAAACATAGTACATGCTATTTTATCCGGATTACATAGTGTTCACATAATAATCCTATGATTAGGAACATTTAAAAGTTAAATACTAAGAAATATATGTCTCCTCTTTTTAACTCCTTGAGAAATCATTTTCATTTTCTTAACTTATACTCTAAACTATATCATATATACAAAATGAAATAAAGCAAAAATATGATAAATAAACTTGCCTTTTTCATTTAATTAAATAATAAATATTGCTAGTGAAACCCAAAAATATCATCTATATGATTGGTTTTAGACATACTAATAACACCAATTTCGAGAATATCCATTGGTGAGACTACCTCAATACGAAACGAGCCATGACCCCCACCAAGATTGCATTTTCAACCTTGGAACTTAGTATATTTCTTCAATATAACAACATTGGCCTCCTCCAAAGCATAAATATCATCGATATCAACCCCTCTCATCCTATAAGGATATTTATGGAGATAGCATGCACTAGTAATATGGAATTTAAAAAGACATAAAATAGATGGAATATTCATATCTGAGAAGGCATACCCAACTCTTAGGGGTAGAGGTTAACGGTTGAACTAATGGTCACTACCCTACCGTTAGACCTTAATATCCTGAGTCCGAATCTAGATGTCTCCTCTCCTGTGGTACAATAGTCAAGTATCTCTCTTTGCAAGTAAAATGTTTCATATTCTATATTTTTCACACATCCTAAGGGTCAACTACTCTTATTCTTCATGAGGCATGTCTTTAAACTAGTTTGAACTACAATGACCAATCTAATAGCTCAAAAAAATAACCGATGTAAACCTGAACATTCTGTAACAAAAAAAAAAATAAGGCACAATCACTTGCAATCCAAGTGTGTATCACGCGCCATAATGAAAGAGTGGAATTGTGTGTTTCCTATATAGTTTTCTCATTAGTAATGAGATGTGAAGTTTCTTAACCACTTCCTAATATGCAAGTATTACAAGTAATTAGACCTTCTTGGAGACACAAACAAGGACCATTTAGACAGTTGGGCCGGCGGGACCCATAGGTTGCCGTGACCACTCCCCCGCCATATATTCCATCTGAACGCAGCACCACTTTTGTGGACTTAAAATGATCCCAGCTTCCATGATTGTTCATCGCTATTTAGTATATTTAAGATACTTTGAAAAAAACCCTTCATAACATACTTTGAAAAGGAAAGGTGAGTAAATTCTCGACATGACACATTGCCATGATAAAAACCCAACAAGAAATTAACATGCTATGGTTAATTAATTATTGGCACGACCTCAAAAATAACACTTACTATTAACACTAATAAAAGAATTAAATTGGTATCAAATATGAATGACACGAATTTAAAATGATAAACATTATTTAAGTGATATTGTCCAAACCAAATGAATCATTTTTGTCGTCAAGTACCGACATAAATCATTGTAAAACATGAGGATTAAATGATTTTTTTTTGGATTTTAAGTTGTCAAAAAAAACGTGTGATTGATTCGTTTGAAAAATAGTTTAGTATTGGTCTTCAATTTTTTATTCACTTGTTTTACGGATCAACTTGAACACGACACGTCGTATTAGTATTAGAATATTTAGTATGATTTATAAAATAAAATAAATTAAGATTATCTAACATTCAACCCGAACTCAATGACATGATAAGAAGACAACTCGATTGCCACCCTACC